AGGAAGGAAGGAAGGAAGGAAGGAAGGAAGGAAGGAAGGAAGGAAGGAAGGAAGAGACTGTGGGCCATCGCATCAATTGTGAACAGTGAATTCCCAAGTCAAATCTGCAGCCCCTGTGTGATCACTGACTGAATTTTAACTGCAATGCAGGCTGCAAATCAAATCAAATTGCCAGTGTAGTTGCAGCCTGAGATACAGTTCTTTTAATTTGAACCACAGCAATGATTTCAAAGCTGATGTCTACATTATCTCATTATCCCTGGCAAATTTTATGTCCTGGGTTGGCCTCTCTTGCGGTGATGTGTCAGCAGCCAGCCTAGACAGTTGTCGCCACCCCAGAAAATCTGTCTTGACTTCCTGCCTTGGTAATTTGAGTGGAACAGTTTGAATAAACAAGAAGGACTCTCGTGGCTCCAGAAAGATGACATGCTGTAGTGTGGCATGCACTTTCATGGATCAGAACTTCATTAGGTGGCAGATATGAATGAGTAAATTGCTGAACTGACCAGCAAGCTTTGATTCCGGATGTTTAATGCTGACTCTAGACCAGGGATTTAATCTCTCTTTGCCTTCTGGACAGCATGGCAAGGCTAGGAACACTGCAAGGGTAGGATGAATGCATTAGTGTCAATAATTGCTGCCAGGAATCATAGTCCATGTCCTTATCTGGTGGATTTCCTCATTACAAAAGAATGTTACAGACAGTAACTGTCCAGGTCATGGCCTTTTGACCCCAGGAGTTGCACACGAAGTGTCCCTCTGCCTAGCTGTCTACCAACTGAGGATAATGCTTCAAGAGCCAGAGGAAGTGGAGTAAACTCTACAAAAGCACATGATACCATCATAAATATGTCAGCCTGTTTGGCCAAGGCCCAAGAGTGGAAGCTAAGGGTCTCCGTGGGGAGGATGATCACTTCCTCTCGGTTGGCTGAGGAATCATATATCTCTGCATATATTCATGGCACAAGACACAACAAAATTCAATTTTCAGCTTTTGCTATAACAGCAACCTTTGAAGGAAAAAAAACCCCACCTTCTTCTAACAAACTAAGAGTGTGGTTTTGGAATACTTGCCCCAGTAGGTCATCAAAATCCTTCACCCTGTTCTAAAACTGGAAGGGCGATCATGTCCTTCTGGTTCCCTGGAATTCCAAAGAATTGCAGTGGATCAGGCTTCCCCAAACTAAAATATCCTCCAGATATTTTAGACTGCAGACCCCAACATTCCTTACCATGAGTGGGGCTTATGGGATTTGAAGTCCTAAATGTTGTTTAGAGATGGGAAAGGCTGCCCCAGATTTATTGGGAAGTTTGGCAAGGACACCTGAGTTCCTCAACATCTCCTCCTAATTTCTGGCACTGAAGTTGGTTGGTATCTTATTAAAGACCGATTCTGTCTCTCCAACATCTACCTAGGCTAGTGAGTCAGAAGAGAATGGATCTGACAGCTTGATGCATTCCATGGACCCTCAGCTGGAGAGGCAGGTGGAGACCATCCGGAACCTCGTGGATTCCTACATGGCCATTGTCAACAAGACCATTCGTGACCTCATGCCTAAAACCATCATGCACCTTATGATAAACAATGTATGTAAGCCAATCAGCGGCCCATGGAATTCCATGGACCACACTTGCACCTCGTGGTTTCTGCACTCTGTAACTGTGGAGGATTCTGAGGGTGGGTTGGTGAATGAGCCTCGTGGCGTGGTGGTTAAACTGCTGTACTGCAGCCAAAACTGTGCTCATGACCTGGGGTTCAATCCCCGGTAGCTGGCTCAAGGTTGACTCAGCCTTCTATCCTTCCGAGGTCGGTAAAATGAGTACCCAGCTCGCTGGGGGGGGGGCAATGTGTAGCCTGCATCATTAACTTGTAAACCGCCCAGAGAGTGCTTGAAGCGCTATGGGGTGGTATATAAGCAGCACACTTTGCTTTTGCTTTTTTTTTCTGGGAACTGCAGTCTGGGAACTATGTAAATTTCCCCCAGGCTTTGGGTTGGTTCTCACAGCTCATCTGCTTTTCTCCCCTCGGACAGACGAAGGAATTCATTCACTCAGAACTGCTGGCAAACCTGTATTCCTGCGGAGACCAGAACACCCTGATGGAAGAGTCGGCCGAGCAAGCACAGCGGCGGGATGAGATGCTTCGCATGTACCATGCCTTGAAGGAAGCGCTCAACATCATCGGGGATATCAACACCACCACCATCAGCACGCCCCTGCCCCCGCCGGTGGACGACTCTTGGCTGCAGGTGCAGAACATACCGTCCGGACGCAGGTACCTGAGGCTCAGGCAGAGGCCCCCACAGACCTTCCTGACGCCTCTTTTAGGAACTAGATGTGGGGCCTCCTGCTGGAACAAGGAAGGAAGGGCACTGAGAATTTATTATTATTACAATTTTGGCACTGTGGAAAAGCAGCATTCATAGACTGACTCTGCTAGAGATTGCTGGAACCTTGATGGCCAGCTGGCACAGACAGAAGAAGTGACCCTTCTTTTGGATTATGATTTGCAGAATCCCACAACCAGTGTGGGTGCCAGCCATGCAGACTGTAGGATTCTGGAAGACCCTGAAGCAAATAAGTCACATTTCCTGTCTGCACTGGCTGGCTGGCAGGCAAAAGTCAGTATGAAGCCTGGTGCAACTGGGAGAATTAGTCTCTTCCAGAGAGCTGAAAGTGGATTGAAAGAGAGCCTTCTGCCCATGAATGCCTTTTATGCAAGCTTTTCATATCCTTTCAAACATCTGCAAAGCTAAGAATGGGATATGTTTGGGCTTATTGGAAGGTGTGATTCTGGAAAGTGTGGTTCAAAACCTCCAAACACTTCCCCTCTGTCTGGAAAGCCTGCTTGGCAAGAGTGAGACAGTGAGGCAAAAGTAACATGAGCAGGTATGCATCAGTGTATGTACAGTATCCTGTACACTCAGACCACTTCCAGCTCTCTTGAAACGCTGTCTCCTTGTTAGAGTGAAGGTTCCTGAAGGTAGTGAGAGCTTTCTTTGGAAGCCCATCGATCTGCCATTGCAGTGAAGCTCCTTTCCCTTCAACAGGTCTCCCACATCCAGCCCTACGCCGCAGAGGAGAGCTCCGGCAGTCCCGCCAGCCAGGCCTGGATCGCGAGGCCCAGCTCCTGGACCTCCGCCTGCTGGTGGTCCCACTCTGGGTGGTGCGCCTCCTGTGCCCTCTAGGCCAGGAGCCTCCCCGGATCCTTTTGGGCCTCCCCCTCAGGTTCCCTCGCGGCCCAACCGTGCACCTCCTGGTGTCCCCAGGTAAGTGTGGTCGTTTGGAGCAGGTAGAAAAGGAGAGTAAGATTTGGGCACCAGCTGCAGCAGGGCTGGAAACCTACACCTGTTGACTAGGAGCTTAAGACCCACTGAGGCTTATTTTAGAACAAATCTTCTTGGGATCCTGTTGGAAGCACCTTTCCCCATTTGGGAGTAGGAGGCTCTAGGAGAGTTGTTGAATCTTCCGCTGCTTCTCATGCATTGTTCTTACTCCAGTTATTGAGGTGCTAAGTTGAAAAGAAGCGTTTGAAACCTGGGGCATTTCTATGAGTTCTCACTGCTTCTCATGCATTGTTCTTACACCAGTTATTGAGGTGCTAAGTTGAAACCTGGGGCATTTCTATGAGTTCTCTTACTTCCTTGTTGGGGCTGGGGAGAATGTATTCTAAGAGGGGAGCTTGGAGATACTTGCCTTGATGGGACCACGGTTTTGGAAGGCTGAAAAGTTTGTCAGAGAATATGGGAGGGACCCTTTTAATATGGGGTTTCCATCCTTTTCTGGGAAGCTGAGATCTCTTGCCTATAGCCCTTGCTCCCCTTACACAGTGACACTTTCACAAGAAGGTTGGTGCCTTGTCTTGTTTTTTTTTATTTTAGGAGAATAACTGTATCTCTGTCTTGAATGCTCAGCACCACTGTGATGATCTTTCAAGCTGAAACATTCCCACAATGCTACATCAGCCAGAGAACTCCTTTCAGTGGGTCAGCCCACAGAGAAAGAAGTAGATCCTGCCCCCTTCTCTTGGTATAAAGAGAAGAACATTTAGCTCTTATTTGATACTTTGGGTTATACCTGAGCTTTGGAAGAATCCTGCTGAAAAGGGCAGTCTCCTGATGCCCCTGATCTTACTGATATTTACTGGGAAGTAAATCTTACTGAGTACAGTGGGCTCTACTCCCGAATAAATAGCAACAGTTCTCTACATGTTTACAGGGAGAAATAAGCCCCCTTAACTTGGTTCGTAGTAAGGACATTTGAACCCACAGGGGCTTTCTTATACACCTGGGTGGATAAGGTTAACATAGACAATGATTAAGATTTAAAAGATTACACTCTATTCATGCATATGAAAGAAATGTTAGTTTTTGGTTGTGTTTGAAATGAAACTATCAGCTGTTATTGTTTTTCTTAATAGCAAATAACTAATCAAAATTGCTATTGAATTTTGATTAGAAGAAATCCAAGTATAAATGGTTTATTCCAGACAGATGAATTAGAGGATTTGTCATGGGAGATGGCTAGTACAGTACAGATTTTATCTTAATATTGATTCCTGCTCAGAAAGCCTGCTCAGTATGTCCCAGAGATGTTGAACACATCACCTTAATTAGTGGAATATCCTGGCCAAGTCGTTTCCTTGGACCTGGAAAGTAAAGCAGTAACATGATTATTAATTGGTACTTTCCCAGGGCTAGAAAAAGGGACTTTGAATAAATTCACCCTTGCAAGGTAAGAAGCAAAAACAATTCATTCTCATCAGAAAAATACAGAAAAAAAAGATCAGCTACAACTGAGAGGGCTGACTCCCAGGGTGAGCAAGCCTTAAATTCTTCAATACTGGATGAAAAGGCAGAGACAGGTACCGAGTTAAAAGTCAGTTTCATGTCACTCAAAGGAGATACTGCATAGCTACTGCTTACCCATGCACACATTCTCAGAGTTTTGTGGATGGATCTGCATGTAGAATTTAGAAGACTTAGGAATCAGCAGCAGGCTTTCCTTTCTGGGACAATTTATATACTCTCTGTATATATATATTTTTTAAATGTTTGAGTATATTGGAATCAACCGCCTCTATGAAGAACCCCCATCTGACGTCTGTCTCTGAGAGCTAAAACAAATGTGTAGGGAATATATATCTTTCCTGCTTTACAATCTTTTCCCTCTAGCAACAACCCTTCTTTATTACACGGTTCTCTGAAAACAGACCTGCAAAGAAAGCTGGTGATCGCATCCCAAATCACAATCACACTTCTCATACTTTTACAACCAGACATCTTTTCCCTTTGAGAGAACACTGCTTCTAAGTACAGGATCAGTGTCTTATCTAGTGTGGCTCTGGTATATGGGTGCATAAGTAACACTACAGATCCCTAGCTCAAACCTGCCAACTCCATCTGGCACTGGCTTTTAAGGATGTTGGCTGGAGGATGTGAGATGCACATTAGAACCTTTCCTGCTGGAATGATCCTTGTTCCTAGCAAAGTCATCCTGTGTCACTATGATGATGCATATCTAGAAGTCTTAGAAGTAAGAGTGGATGAATCTGAAGATGAGACAAGGCACTGGTTTCTCTAATGGTTTTAAAGTAGCCTGCCCCTTCCTACAACGGTACCCCCTGGCTTTTACTGATGAACACAGGCTTGTGTACAGGTGTCTCACCAACCCACACCTGGTTTTGACAGTGCTTCTGCCAGTGCATGCGATTGCCACCATCTGCTGTTTCTGCTGCTGCTGCTGCTTTGCATTGCTGGGTCTTCCTTCTCTCCCTAAACCTCATCATTTTCTCTCTCTTGTTTTTTTTTCTTTGAGTTTGGTTACAATGTGCTTGTTTTTCTCCCCTACATTTTTAAAGGGCCATGTTCACTGAACAGTCCTATCCCCGCCATATTTCTCTATGGCTTATCGTTCTTCCCACATCTTTCCTCCATCCCATCACTTCATTCTCATCGACAATGTATTCTATATACTTGTTGGATATTCCATGTAATAGAAATGTATCAGTTCTCCTTCCCTCCCTCCCTCTTCCCATAAAGTGCCCCATATCCCCCTTGCAAACATTTTGATTCACTATTGTAATGGAATCATTTGAAGTTTTTATACTGAAATCATCCTGAAAATAGTCTTAAATAAATAAATGTCCACACTGTTTTTCAAAGACAGTGCCAGCACACCAACAAAGAAGGATCAATGGTTTATGTATGGATGCACAGATTCATCCTTGCACACCCTTAATGACACCAGGTTCCAGTTAATCCAAGCACCCAGACACCCACGTCTCTCGTCTCCTCCCTGTGTAAACAATAGAGGAGACTCACATTGTGGGGTGATCATTGGCGGTGAGAGCTAGGCCGCTAGCTTCCTGTGTAGGGGCATTCCATAAATAAGCCATTGCTCAGGATGTTTTCTATGGAGCCGCTTACCCATCTTTTCCTGGAATCCATCTTATCTTTCTAGTCGAGAGAGAAGCTGTCATTTGGACCCAGAAAGATACAGCCTCATGGTGCAGTGGTTAGCCTTTTGTACTGCAGCCAAAACTCTCTGCTCATGACCCAGGGTTCAATCCCAGGTAGCTGTCTCAAGGTTCATTCAACCTTCCATCCTTCCAAGGTTGGTAAAATGAGTATCCGGTTCACTGGGGAGGGAGGCAATGTGTAGCCTGCATCATTAACGGCTCACTGGGGAGGGGGTCAATGTGTAGCCTGCATCATTAACTTGTAACCCTTCCAGAGAGTGCTTTAAGTGCTATGGAGCAATATATAAGCAGCACCCTTTTTTTTCTGTGCACAGAAGCAGGGTTAGCATGTGTTTGGTTGGTTTTGCCTCCATACTTCTTAGCAGGCTGCGCAGGTCGTGCTGGGATCTTGCCTCTTGCGGAGTGTCAGGGAGCCAGCTTTTCACTTATGTGCTCTTTAGCTGAGACGTGAAAGTGGCTGGCACAAGCCGTCCCACATCTGGGAGAAAACATGGTTGGCATGGTTCGCAGTCAGATGATCCCTTAACGGAAGTTTAAAATGCTTCTGTTGCATAAATGTTTGGCACGTTCTGGGGAAAGAATGTAGCCTGTTGTAGAAGAAAGCCATCCAGAGTTTCAGAATACCCATAAACGTGACGTTCCACAATCTGATTCCTCCCAGATAGGTTGGAATTCAGCTCTCACCGATAGCTGTCACTGCCCTTCTCCAGGAATGACAGAAGTTATAACCGAACACATCTGGAGGATGCCATCTGCCTTAATGGCTTAACAGATGTATAAAGGGGTATATATTCAAGGACTAGAAGTGGCCTCTGGTCACTAAAGTTTATTTTCTTTATTTATTTTATTTAACTTATATGCCGCCCACACTACCCAAAGGTTTCTGGGTGGCTTGCAACATTTAAAATACAATAAAAAGACAAAATTATTAAAATGCAATTAAAATATATACTCTAAAAATTGCCATCGGACCCACAGCTGATATTATTTCAATTAAAAACCTTCTGGAACAGGAAGGTTTAGACCTGGTGCTGAAGTGTCATCAGCATCAGCGCCAGACGAATCTCAGTTGGGGGCAGGTGCCGAAAAGGCCCTTTCTCTACAAGTCACCCCTCTTATCTCCTTAAGGGATGGCTCTTTCAAAAGGGCCCCCTGGCTAGATCTTAACTGCCAGGTAGGTTCATATGGATGGAGGCGGTCCTTCAGGTCCTTATGCCAGGTTAAGCCTTCTAAAAATTCCACAAGGTTCTTGGTTGATGAAATTCCAAATACTGTATCCCCGTGTTGAATAGAAACCCTCTCTATCTCTCAGCCCCCCTTTCTATGTTGGTTAGTGGCTCGGTGCTATCTCGGTGTATAGATTAAGATTTTTCACACTTGTCAAGTCAATTAGGTTCCCCTAGCCGCTGAATGGACTGATGACCATGTTCATTTGTTGTTGTTGTTTGTTTGTGTATCTTTCTTTTCTGCTTCTTTTTCACTAAAAGATCTGGCTTTCCCACATTGAGTGGGGAAAGAGG